TGTTTTGCGAGGAGAGAATGTGTATCGTAAAATAGTCTGAATATAAGGCATTTTGCTTTTTTAAATTTTCTGAATTATATATGAAAGTGTAATAGTTACAGATTTTGTATATTCTACTTAAGGGGAATGGCGAATTGTAATTCTTCGTTATTATGCCTATCAGGTATATCATACAACTATAATATGTTTCATAAATATGTCAAAGTAAGGTTCGATTCCTTGTACAACTTCAAAAAACAACCAGTTTTGAGGAAAGGCTTTATTTGAGCATCAATTAAAACTCTAGCGATCGTTCCAAACAAGTATTCACTTACGCTGACCATGTTTACTTTAAATAAAGTACTTATGAAATCATGCATTAACGGGATTTCGACCTAGTAATTTGTGTAATTTATCAACAAAGAAATGGATCCCGTTTAAATTGTATTAGATACATTGCAATAATATACAGAAATAGGTTTAAGTAACAGACTCGTTGTACAAAAATCTGCGTATTCCATTAGATGATTCGTTTAATACAATCTGATCGCGTGTAATATATGAATGGTGATTAGTTACAATTACGTTTGATACCGTTCAAAACTGACACCGATGGAAAAGTAGGTTGGACAGGTCGTAGTACGAATAGTTCAAGATTTCCTTACAGTTTAAATTCTAGATAAACTTTAAAATTTCATGTTAGTCAACTTTTCATAGTCTACGAACCCACTTAATGTATTCGCCTTTTTATAAGTTGTTACCTTGTATTGAAGTAAGTCCAGTTAGCCTTAAATCTCAGTTACATACAGCTTTTATTCCAGTTGGTGTCCAGTCTTATGATGATGATTGATGTATACTTCTATGACCTAGTAAGATTTTGTAGGTAATCAAAGTCTCATAATTTCTGATCATTTAGTAGTTGTAAGGGAAAAAAATTTATTCAAAGTAAATGTGTTTGGTCAATAACTCATCTAGTAAAACGTACTATTGTATTCAATACTGCTAAGTGATCATAATTGATTTTGTTACTATGAAACGATTATTTCCATATATTGCTTTTGAAATAGATCAACCAGTATATAGCCCAACGAGCCACTCTGAGCGTCATCTCTCAGACACGTTTAGACAATCACATTACACGAAAAGTCCGGATATTTTTATGGATCGTCGTTTAAAATCAGATTATCCATCGAGCAGTTCTCTATCCAGTCAGTTCCGTTCATCACCAGATTCTATGGTATGTATCATTGAGAGGTCATGAAGGTTATTCAGTCTAAGTTAATAATTTAAACATTATTAAAAGTTCTGAAGGACCTCATGCCACATATTCCGAGATGATCTAGAATATTTTTATCACAGGATGAGGATCTTGAAAGTGTTGTGAAGTTTCCATTTAATGCCTCACATTTCAGCGTCCTCTCATTAGGTCGAACTCAAAGGTTGATTACAATAAATTGATTTACAAATTTCACATTCACCTTCTCTTGGTTAAGTCTTTCGTTGTACTGCAAATACTCACTAAGAGTTCTTGCTCATGGCATTTCGGTAAGGTGAAAATCCCCACTCATGCGAAATTTCCCAGCTACTATTTTATTGCCGCTGCATAGACGACACCATTATAGGGCAAGGTTAGTCTACTTAAAATATTTAACTGCATCCATCCATCTATCACATTTATACTAGAAGGACGTTAAAGAAAAGTATACATCAAAATTCAATATCAGTTGCTCAATATTATCCATGTTTATAGTCCCGTAACTCGTGCAAACGAAACCTAGTCGAGAGTTCAACACATTGTGTGAAAATTATTTGCTCCAGTGATACAATTAAAGAAGAGTTACGTACTATCCGCAGCTTACTGAGCGTGAGTGCTTATCCGTTAAAATCTATTGAGAAGCACATGATCCAAGTTAGGACAAAGAAAAAACTAGTTCCTGAAAAGCCAGTATTTTTAAAGCTGTAATTCTCAAACGATACTATAATTAAATTAGTAATACAACGAGTAAGAAAATCCTTACAAAGGACATTCGATGTGGTAAAATTGTACGCCATATTTTACCACCGACTGAGTATTAGCACAGAAAGTAAGGGCAAACTTCTCCAATACCCTTCATCTATATGCGTTTGCCATTTCAACTGCTCACGTGGAGCCGGATACATTGGGCTCACGATTTGGCAAGTCTGTCACCCTGTTTTGGAATATCATCCCACCTGGGTAGGTAAAGGACAAGTATGATTGATTGATAGCTCTTTACAGGCTCATTTGATGGATACAGGACATCAAATAGCCAAAACAACCCGTTTCAAACTATCCACTGGGTCCCACCAAATATACCGCTTGGTTTACGCATGTATTTTCCATACAGCAAGAGCCATCAGTATCTACTTTAATAAGCCTAGTCTGTGCCTCCATGAAATTTATACAATCGCACTCCTCACCTCAGCCGTCATAATTACCAATATCTAAGTGAGTTACAAATGACTTGTTAAACAATACTTCTACTGTTGTTTTTACTTAGTCTTAATATTCTCTTTATGATTACACACCTGATATTATTGTTGGACTTACCAAAAACTTTATCAGTCCTTTAATTGCATGTTCGAATTGTTTACTACGTAACTATTACTTATGGTGGACTTCTTACCAAACTTGTCAGTTCCATTATTATCAATCCCTAAACTATTTATTATTTGATTTTATATTGGCTTTATCAATAAACTTATATGTACGTTCTCTGATTGTGTGGTAGGTTGTATTTGTTTCTATAGAAACAAACGGCCTATATTTCCAAACTCCAGAAAAGTCTCTGGTAATCAAACTAAAACTTATTTTCAGGGTAGATGGCGTTTCCCAGTTCAGTTATCTATTCAAGCGTAGCCATGTCTTGTAGTTCCGACTATCTTACTTGAAACAGCATTCTCTTGATTTTACCTATTAGATTGTCCATGTTAGCTCCCTACAGTTTTGGATTTCGCCTAACCAATATAACGACTGACCTATTAGGATATGATGATAACTGTTTTCACTAGTGTAGTCCAGTAAAGTATATGTCGGTTTGCTTGAGATTTGAAATATCAACGGTAGTTTCTCTCTGAAATACTCTTTAAGGGGTTTTAATTTAGGGTCTAAAATTGTATATTGCTGCATATCTGATATATTGTTACTCAACTTATGTAGCTCTACTATCAAACATACGTCGATCACTCAAATAGGACCAAAAGCAGGAATTTTACGTTAGATTCTCCATTGTTTTATTCTTGACCTTACAACAACTAGCTTACTAAGATAAATCAAACCGAAAAAAAACAATATTATATACGACTGCTTAAAATACTTTATGATATCAAAATCTCATTTGTCTGTTTTGTTTAGGTTCAGACGAAGATGCGAAGTAACAAAAGTTATCCTAACATTACATCATCCTGTGAATGGGCAAGAAATGAATCACGTTCCCCTGAAGAACATTCTAGTAGATCATCCTCAATGTTCTCACAAGGTAACTGCTCATTGTCGTCAGTTTTAGAACGTGTGACACCAGAACCAACACCAACTTCCCAATACCCCAGTTCATCCACCTATAAGACTTTCGAAACAGGTAGAACATTGAGTTTCAAAATAAAACACTACTTTTTCCTCTTTATCTAATTATTATACTTTTTAAATCATTTTATATCGGTATTTTAGAAACGGTAAATCCATATTCTCCTGACTTCGCTTCTGATCGGTTAACTCGGAAACGCGAAATCGAGGCCAGATTGAAAGAGATTGAGTCAACTGAGCGAAAGTTGCTGAACTGGAAAAAAATGCAGAGTTACGGGAAAGAAGCACGATCGTTCACAAACCGTGATGATGTGGAATATGGACCAGATTATAAGAAGTAAGCACTTGATTTTAAGTGTTGAATTTCTTACATTTTATTCGTAGATATTGTTTCCAAGACAAACAGTTCAATATACAAGTTGTAGCAATGTTCGGACATTACTAAGTTACTGCATAACTTTTAGTTCATTAAAAGCTATGGTCAGTAGGATCCGCTCTCATTTTAAAGTGCAGTCATCTACAAAGTTCGCCATTATGTAGAGTTTGCTTATCTGGGAAATTCAGCAGAAATTTCGAGATTGGCAGCCTACGGCTGATTTTCGGTACTAAGTAGCTAATCGTTTGTGTCATCTTTATCCAGGTCCAATATTCGCATAATAAACCTGTTTTAAGATAAGCCTAATTGGTAATAAGAAAAATAATACAGTCGTGATAGATTTGTAGGTAAGCAGCATTAAACTTAACCTAAATATCGCTCATTCTGGACACGAACATGTAATTCAGATGAACTAAAGAATCTTAAAGCTCAAAATCCTGGCTAAGAGAATCTCTTCCGATAATTGTAAGCTCATCGGAACAACATTTTAAATGTTACAAGGAACACAATAGACCAACAGAGATCAAATTATACTCTAGATACAAGTTCCAGCTTACTGTTTTACAACAGGCTTTTCAATATAGTTTGAGGAAATGCCTAAGGGATGAGTAATTTAAAATTTCCTAAATTTATATACTGTATTTCTTGTTAGTGACTGTGATTGTTCTAATTATAATTTTCTTTGAAATTAAAAAAAAACACTTCCATTTTTGACTTCTAACTATTTTTGTAGACTCCCGAAGAAATATACGAAGTGATTTCGGCAAGAAGAACAAACCACTAACTGATGAGTTAGCAAATAGTTCTACACGACTGTTAATCTCAACGTTATGTCCTCAAATCAGTCCCATGAACTGTGATTATGATGAAGTCAGTGTGCACCAGCTTGAAATGATTTATTTCGAAAGTACATGTGTTGTTTTTGCGTGCAATTTTATGATCGCTGAAAGCACATCGATTTCATGTATAGACTATGAAATCCATTTATTTGATTAGAAACTTTATTAATAATAAATTATTCTAAATTAAATATTGACAACAAATCTTCATTAAAGTGGAATAAAAGTTAGTTTAAGTATCACAAATTGCAATGTCATTTATGCTTCACTTGGCCAATTCGAGTTCCTTTTTATGTTCTGTAAAAGTAAATAATAATTTATGCTGACGTGTTAGTGTATCATCTGAACGGTACGCAAATTGAGAATGGGTATGAACAAGAATATTGTTGCTGTATAAGAATTAATATGATAAACCCACACAGACCAAAAATATCCCATCGTTGTTAGTACAAGTTATAAACATTCCGTCAAAAATGTGCTAACATTCGCATCGATGGAATAGGCTCATTAATACCTCGTGTAACAGATCTTACTATTGAATACTTGAAAATATTGAGAGTAACGTCGACCAACAATGAAAAAAAGAAATTTACTATCACTTATTACTCAGTATCTCTAGCGAACAATGGGGAGTATCCATTGGCATTTATCGGTTAGTGACTTCGGATTAATTTCTATAATGCTTTACATATAATAACTTGCACTGTTAGCTTCCGCCAAAGTCTAACTAAACGCATATTAAGTACTGTGAACTGAAATATCTTCTAATGAAGGTACATTCTATGTGACAGCATCTGTTCGTATGAAAACGTCGAAATTTATTTAGATGAGGAATAGATAAATATCAGTTGTGTAATAAGTACTTACTTTTAATGACTGAACAAAATTTCTTATGTGTAAACCAGTGTAAACGTTGACAAGAGACTGAACAGTAAGAAGTAATTTTGCATTGTTGACATGCTTTCAACGTTCCTGGTTTTCCCAGTTCAGGACCATCTCCACATGTTGCGCACAGTTCAAGAGGACGAGCATTGTATATAATAGTACCGTTGATTGTTTTTGTAAGAACAGAGAACGCTGTTGGCATACGGCCTAAATCTAGTGGGGATATTTGTTGGACAATATGTCTCCATAGGGTCGATTGATGGTGGGGGAACGAAGTCAAGGATTGTCGTAAGAATTTCTCTTGACCTATTTGATAAGTTATGGATGCACTATTTCACACCACTTACCTAACGGCAAACCATAGGGCTCTGTACCGACTAAGAATTTTCTAATCAGTTGTTTCAATGGTGAAGAAGCACGATCTTGAATATCTGTAATTTTCGGCTCTTTGTCGTAATACTCTCCGGCTCGGCGTATACAACAGGCCAATAAATGAAGTTTTAAGGATAATGGTTCATGTGTTAAATGAGGTGTGAAATATTTGTTGCATAAATCTTCAAGAATAGTATGGATGCAACGCCAATGAGTCAACATACATTTCTCATAATTTTCTCCTGAGCGACTACAGGTTTCGATCTCATTGTTCATTAGCAGAAAGACCTAAAATGTATAAGGGATTCCTCAATAAATATATTACCTCACAGTAAAAAAGTGAGTTAACTGACATTTGAGTATTAGATCAAAGGATGAAAGATATTCTACAGCTTAAAAAAATAACCAGACCTAATATATTTCTCTGTAAATTTAATGAAAACATCTATGCACATTTGGGTACTTCGATTACGTGTATGGCGGCTGAACCGCATTAAGACACACTTAACAGTGATGCACATTATTTTTCACCAGTACGAAATCTTATCACTTGCTCTAAATTTTTTGTTTGTTTAAGACCATTGTAACGCTTAAATATTTCAAAGTAGCTGGGAACATTTTAGTATGATTTTCTGAATGAACCAAGTGTAGAGTATGTCTGTGTGTCTAAAACACTCAGTACTTGTCGACCAGCGATGTCTACTCAAACGAAGGATAAGTTACCTGAGTTGGCCTCTTCCATGTGTATTTACAAATTCAGCTACTCATGTGGAGATAGCTATATAGGGCGTACTACCAGGTAACTTAACCAACGAATGAGTGAACATCTACCAACTTGGTACATAAAGGGCCAGATAAAATCTATTCGCAGTTCTATATTGGCACATCTTATTGATAGCGGTCATGCTGTAGATAAATCGAAATCATTTCGAGTTATCTATCGTATACCTCCATCATTTCCCGACGGAGTCCGTTCCCGTCTCCTACATATAGCCGAAGCCATTAGAATTCGTACATATAACCCCAATTTATGTGTACAGAAGAAATACGTGGCCCCCCTATCCCTTCCATGGCCGGTTATAACTTAACTAACAATTATTTATTTTAAATTTTACTATTATCATTATTTATTTTATTCTATTTGTGTTATCATTAACCTTATTTTCACATCTAGTATTTGTTTGTAATTTTCCGCCTCTTCGTATTCTTCACTATCTAATTATTTACACACATCTTATTGCGTAATGATTTTAATGTTTTGTGATTACTGTTCCTAGTCTATTTACCTATGTTTGACCTTCTACTCCCAACGTTTAACTATTGATAAGAGTTTTGTTATTGTAGTTTATTATTCTTACCACTATCTGTTCACCTGTCTTCGTACTATCAACTTGTACTTTTACCTATTATGTGTAGTGACTTATTCTATTTCATTGTGATTATTGACCCATATTGCCTTGATTGGATTAAAATTTTCGTATAAATATTCATGTATATTAGAGTAAAGCCTGATGACGATCTAATTGAAAACAATTGTTCGCTTATATGTGTTGTTGTAATAAGATAATCTTCGTCTTCTTATTACACTATAAAAATAATGTTTATTATTTTGATAATTCATTAAAACCGATTTTGTAGTAACCTTTAGACTTTTTTTCGCGAATAACCTCGACATAACTGACATACGATGAAGAATTAACCTGTTTACATTCAAACCAATTTAATTTATTAAAAATTACTTTCTAGGCTCTTTTATTTTGAGGGGTGTCTTAACAACTGTATGCAGTTCACATTAATTGTCAGGCTTTTTCAAATACACATTAAATGCTCCAACTTTCAGGCTACATACGAAAGTGTACTTAGTTTTATTATCTTATGCTATATATAGTGGCATCAACTGTAAACGACCAACGGAGTGCCGGACTCGAAATATATCTGGATGGAATAAGTATGTATAACAAACTTTAGTTGTAGGTAATTCACCCACGGAATTGAGTTTTGTAAAAGCACTATCTGATACAACGTCCGACCTTAAAGGAAAGAAAGTAAACCTATACGTGGTGGGTAACATATGAAGCCAAATTAAAATTACTTTTGACCGCAAACACGTTAGAATGCATTGAGCATTCACGTACGTACAAATTTAACCTGAAGTTATAAATTGGCAGTATCCCGATCATAAATAAATGATGAAGTCTTCCACACGATATCTGATAGATTTCATCAACTACTTTAGAAAGGAAAGTGGAGTGATAAAATTGTCAGATTATGAGTCCCTTATCAATGAAATTTTTGAGTCTTTATTTTTGGCTAATCAATCACATCAGCATCCTAGGATGTGGACACACAATCGGTTAACACAGGTTGCTTAATCAGGAAATGATAAAGATGTATATTTTTGACTTGTATACACGTCTACTCAAATGTATCCTACATAATGACCAATTTCGGGTTTATGTGAAGGCAACTGTTATGAACAGCTTTTTTTTACTTTTTTGATCATTTAGTTTGGTAAATCCGAGGTGTTTTTCCACTAAACCTTAAGTTTTACGTAATTTGTCGTTAACCTAATGATACACTTGATGTAAAAGCTAAGATGTGAACTGTATGAAACTTCATTTGCGAATATGTAGAACATAGCTTTAAGAGGTAGTGATCGCCATCTCACATCGATTTTCGGCAGTTGCACACCGAAAATTTACAAATAGAAGTACGATTACCTTAGTACATAAACAGGGCGAAGGATGGAATGGACAAATTATAGTCAAATGGCAAAAATAAAAGGATTTAGGCATTGTTTTACTGAGACGCATACGTATACTGCGGGGATATTATGGTTATCAATGGAACAACAGCTACTCACATATAGATATGTAACATACTTTAACAGGTGAAATATTTAGCTGCAAAACTAGTTTGTGAATCGTAGATACATGTTCAGGCAATAATTGTGACTTCGACACGTAAACGGCTATTTCTTCTCTTTCCAGATAGTTATTAATAAGAGTGACGACGTTATGATTCCCTCATTTATTATTACAGGTAAGTTTGAATACCTACCTACAAATGCGGCCATTTGAGAGGCGGTCCTACCGATACTGTTTACATCATTTATTCGAGCCCCATAATGAAGAAGAAGTTCAACAACCTCAATGTTTCCTACAAAATTGTAGAGATAAAGTAACAAACCTGAAAGACCAGCAAACATTAGGGCAGTATAACCCTGTTTGTGAGAAGAAGAATTTACATTTGCGCCATATTTGAGAAGAAACTCAACGACCGGAAGGTTTCCCCGGAAACAAGCCAACTGCAGTGGAGATAAGCCCTCCTATTCAGATTAGTCTAGAAATCCAATTATTCACTTTGTCATAGGAGTTGATTAGTGACCTATCCTCTGAAAGGAGAGATTTAACCTTTTCTATGTCCGCTGCCACAAATGAAAATGACAAGAAAAACTTACATGTGGAAATCGCAGCTCGAAAAGAGTCGAGTATTTCTTCCGAACTCTTTAAAGTACAGTAACACAGAAAGAACTTACCATAACTTTGTTGCACTTCTAAATATTAGACAGCAATTGCGTATGCTTAATCATATATTTGGTCTAACCTATAAATATAAAACCGTAGAGATAAAATAAAGTATATGTGAAAGATTTATTAACAGTCTGGTTTTTGAATGCACAGATAAATGCATCTTTTCGGAATACAGCTTCGTTATTTTCCTTTTTGGATTTTTTTAGCCATTTTGATAAAACGGATACAAGTGGCAGGGGAAATGCAATATTTTTTCGAAATGTTTTCAATAGTCTAGCAACTTAATCTCATTTAGGAGTAAGTGAAAAGTAAACGTTTTCTTCTCTAGAACCATCTTCGTTGTAGATTATATCCAGATAGCCTTTCACATGGTTTTATTCTACTTACACATTGTCCGTAAGATTATGCTTCGAGTCTCACGTTCTAAATATTTTAGTGCTTGAGGCACTTTTCATACTGAGGTGAAGCCAATAAATGGAAATAAGCAGGTACACTAGCCTTTAAATTTCTTTTGAGAAGTATGAGGCTGATACATACTACCAGCATTCCTAACATTGGGACATAAATAGGCAAGAACCATACATTCTGAGGTCTCATAACCAGATTTTATTTCTGAACAAATGGCACTGAACGAATTTTCACTTATCTTTATAATAATGTTGCTTAAGAAGATTTGCAGTGAATCGATACTTTCACGAAGCAGTATATCTCATCACTGAATTCGGATTAAAAAGTAGCGTGGCACTTATTGCTATGGCTATTTTTATGGCAGCCCAAAGGATACTTACATGTATAGCTAATAGGACGTCCGTGGACAGAGTTGACACGAACAATTGTCCGTGTGTATGCCTTGTATTTTTGTCCGATCTTACGCTTATCACGAAAATATCCTCAATTCGATGGAAGAGGCTACTGCATGCTAACTCCCGCTCATAGGTAGGGGGAGAGTTAAAGATAGAACTTCTGAATACATTCCTAAGACTTACAAGTGCCTCGTGAACCATGAACCACAAATCCCTGAACTTTTCTCGAAATTAATTGCTCAAATTCATTTAATTTTATTTTAAAAACTGCTTTAGCAACGCACAAAACATAAAAGTTTTTATTACCCATACGAAAATTCCTATTCCCGATAACAATATGGTGACCCTGAAACAGTCATCTAGAACAAATTGTCCGCTTCCGAACGGTTAACCAATCTTAACTAGAGATGTACGCAAGTATTCTACACCGCTATTGCAAAACTGAAACAGGAGAATGCATTTAGTATTTGTCTGTCGGATTTTTGTAAGAGATTATGATATGTTATAATTCGGCGTAAATGATAATCAAAACCAAAATGTTTCAAATTATTGTGAACGATCTTCCGTGTCGATTTATATATTATGATCAATATCTTTGACAAGCCCGTATTAACAAGACAACTTATTTATGCTAGATTTTTGTTGTTTTTCTACCATTCCAAGTTTTTGATAATTTCCAATGAGCAGTAGTCTAGCCACTCGACTGCCCTGGTTCCTGTCAGCTTGGTAGTTATTTGTAGGTTTTAATATCTTGTGGTCTGGGTTTTTTCCCAGGGATTCGGAATACAAGATGTCGTTGCATAACCAGGCAGAAGGGTGGTTTTATGTGGGAAATGATAAGGCGTAAGTTCGAATGCTAATGAAAGATTTTCTTATGAAGTGAATAAACGGGTTAATAAGCCCAAACGATTCAAATGGTTCCAATGGCTTTAGACAGAATAGAAGAAGCTTTCGCTTGACGGACTTTCGTATCTAGTAGCAGCGGATCATCAATACCTTCAGGCAGGAACCTAGGTATATTATCGATAAAAGAGGAAAGAGAAAAAAATTGCTGAATCATAGTAAGATACTATCCTAGTCACTAAGAATATGTCAAGTTTTCTCATAAAGGACTCCTGAGAAGTCGCTTGGAGTAGCTCGGTCGGCAGCGAATCACAGAGCTTGACTACTCTTAAGGAGTAGAAGGTGGGTCTACAGTCCCTTACGCTGTGTTTTGTTTCCAATTTCTGGGTGTCAAGCCTAAGTTTTGTATTGGGACTAAGCTTAAGTAGGTGTTCAAGTGGATATCAAGAGGTATTTAGGATGCTGTAAGCCATTTGGATGTCACCTCGAAAATGCCTGTACTCTAATGGATAAAGGTCCAGTTAATGGAGGCGCTCTTCTTAGGGCTTGAATTTGAATCCCCGAACTGATTTCTTGGCTCGCCGTTAGATATGTTCCAGAGTGTCCTTGTCCTTTTGGAGTGAGGGAAGAAATACCATGTTTTTGTACTCTAAATGGGGATGAATAAGAATGTTGAGAATTGTGTGTAATTTTCTTTCGTCAAACTGGCCAATGCTACCAGTGCAAGGTTTGCTCCAACTGCATTTTTGTTGCAGTTAACATAAGACTTTAAATAGTAGAGACGAACACTTTCAGATATATTTTAACTTTGGATACCTCTACGGGGGAGTTGCCTAAGCTGTAGCTGTAGTCTTCAACATATCTCAGATGGACTACTCTACACTTTGAAGTGTTAAATGTAAGTCCATTGTCATCTGCCAAACTTTGAAGACGAGCCAGATACTCCTTAGGTGCCGGCTTATTTTCTCCGTTGAGTTCCTCTCTCCAAAGTTTCATATTCTCAGCAAAAAGTAATAATTTTGACGACACGTGCTGTGAGAGATCGCTCATATAAACCAAGAAAAGAAGAAACCCTAGTACTGAACCCTGGGGGGCCCCACTTCGACGTTTCATAGCGTGAGAGAAAGTTACGTTAACCGTTACCTCAAAATGTCGATTTTTTCGATGTGAAGTGAGCCAATCAATTAAGGGTGGTTTGATTTTCCGACAATAAAGACTATCACCAAAGATGTCAACAACTCAACTTTGAACCTCTTTGGATCAGACGTATCAAATTAAATCTTGCATTTATCTACCGGTTTATTAACGGTATTTCCTACTCTTCGGTATCCACCCCTTCATACCTTATGATATCATCCCACGATCTACGCAATAAGGAGAATATTCTAGCGATTCCAAGAACTCACGCAAACTTACGTCAGAATTTTTTCCTTATTCGCTACTCAACCATGTGGAACAGATTGCCAGTGAACCTCCGTTGCAGTGAAACTACAACCCGGTTCAAAAGTCTCCTTAATGATTTTCTTTCTGAAAGTGGATTATGTCACCTATTGAATATCAATGTATTTAATAATGATTTATACAAACAAGGTCCGTCATTCATTTAATTGATTGAAAAGCAAAATAAAACCTTTAAATCTTTTCACGGCTATTTTATTTTATTTCTATTTATCTTAATATATGAAGTCTGCTTATGTTCGTATTTATAATTATTACCGTTATTAATATCATTATTGGTCCGCCGAACATAAGATATTCTTTTCATCTCTTCTTATCCTTCCAAATATAATTTCTGATTGTCCTTTGAAATTAATTGTGACTTTCATAGCATCATTCTTAATTATTATTGCACAAGTTTTTATATTAATATCCGGTTTCACTCTGTATACTATTACATAAATCTACATGTATTTATCCGAGTTCACCTAGTGATTTATTTTCTTTTTCTAAATTGTTGGTTTACTTTAGAGGTCAATATTCATTGCAAAATTATTATTTTCATGTTCGAACCCTTTCACTAGGTGTCCGCTTCTTTTCCCTCTTTTTTCGTTCTAAATAAATATTATTCCTCAGATTACGAAGTTTGTAATTAAGACGATAACTTGTGCTACACGTAAATTAACTTCTCAGACTCGTTTTATCTTCACAATGCATATATGACTCGTACATATTGATATTTCGCTATCCTTATCACTTAATTGAGACTTTCATAGCATCACTCCAATCTATGACTGCACATACATTTATTCCAACGTCATATCTTACTGCAATAATAAGTTTTTATTATTATTTTTTATTTTAATTTTTGTTATTTATTTGACGATACATACATAGTCATTTACTCTTGTTCTGTGTTCATAAACACGCCTATTGAACTATTTGCGTATTTCACGTCCCCTTCATTTCTATTCCCTTATCTTCTTCCTTTCCTTCTTTAAACTCAATTCGATATTCTTCTCAATTACACAAAACCTGATTTATTATTATTATTCTACTATTATTACTCTCTTTTATCAAATATGGCAAATATAATGCTAACGTTATTGAAACTTGTGTATAATTGCATTTTTGAGGAAACCCAAAATGGTTTCTTCACAACACTTATGTACCCATAAGATGTTTGTGAACAATAATAATAATAATAATAATAATAATAATAATAATACCTAGTCGTTTGACATTATCATCCATCTGACCCCTGCAGTCAGCAAGTTGGTTATATAAGAGTGATGGTTTCTGAGGCCGTGCTGTTGGAGTGGAATGAAGTTTGTGGATAATAAATTTTCCTGTATACCGGCGTATATCAGGGACTACATAATTTTTGAAGGTATAGAGGGTATTGTTACCGGTCGGTAGCTTGAATATTCGCTGCGTCGACCTCCTTTAAAAATTGATGTGATGCGAGCCAGCTTACAAATTTCCGATAATGTGCCTCGGTTTAGCGAATGTGAGGACATCACGCCATGTGACGCGGCCTAGATTGAAGCTGCTTTTCTCAGTATAGCAGAATTAGTCATATCCACACCGAGAAGTGTCTTCTCTAGGTGCTTCGGTTCCCGGTACACCACATCAGCGTTCAGATTCACTTCTGAAAGTCCTGTGGAGTTGCAGATGAAGCTTCCATCAATATAGCTAGTGTGGGTCGGTTGAAATGTTCGAGAGTACTGTTCAAACAGAGGATTAGTGGCATCACCGTTGTTGTTGGTCGGGCCATTAGGAACTAGCAGTTTGGAAACTCCAGTTGTGATTTGTCAAAGAGGGACTGCATAACGGAATAAGCCTTTCGGATAGGAGACAAATTTATCAATAAGCTTTGTCTAGTACTGAAGTTCATCTTCTCCTATCGCCTTTGTGCATATGTTCCTTATTTGTTTGACTTGCCTGTATGCACCGTTATCACCAGTTCATTTGTATTCTGCCCAACAGTGACTTTTGCTGCTTAGTAAGCGAAGAGTGCGGTTCTTGATGATTGTATGTTGCTTGTAGCTTTTGGGTAAATCGTTTCTACAAGTTCCTCAAAGCAATTAAAATTAGCTGTGGCTTTAAAGGTGAATTTAAAATTACAAGAAATGGTTTCAATAACCAATTTCAAAGGTTTGTCTGGCTGCTTTTTAATTCCTTAGGTTTACAACAACTAAAGCATACTATTCCCCATAAGTCTTACTATACCAGTCCTCTAATCACTGACCTATGAAGGACTTAGTTATAAACTTTCGTACTGTCTTGAAGCTACTTTGTATTACTGAAAAATACGTTACCGTGGTAGGTCATCAATCAATAATACAACCTGACCTTGTTTGGAGTGAACCACTGTTGGTTCTCAACCACATGATCCTTGAAGCCGTGCGAATAATAACTGAGAAGATTTACGCTCAAGATTTAGTAACCTAGAGAAAGCCAGAAACGGTGAACGGGCGAACAATTAATCGGTATGGTATGACTTAGCAGCGAAAGTGCCGTCACTTTATTAAACTTCTTCCTTTTCATATTTAATAAAACATTCCATCTACAGTTTGGACGTGTTCTTCGGAAGTACTAAACAGCATATTGCTGACTGTTAAGATGGGTTGATGTGAATTCCATGTATGATCTTATGAATTTAATAGTTAAATCATGACAAATTTTCCATTTTCGGGTTGGGTCTATTATTATGGTAACAAACGCAAATGCATTTAATACCAAATTAGACATTAAACTAGGTTCACCATTTAGAGAATTTGCATTTAGCATTATGTCGCAAGTATCTGCATACTATTTAGTGTCACATATAGTGGTTCGCTGTATATATAAACTCGTTTCGCTCAATCAATAATTATTGCTTCTGAGCTTCCATGTTTTTGTACAAATAAACACGTAGGTCTAGATATCACCTCACTAAATAGCTTTGTAAACGAAGGATTAAGTGGTGTGTTTACTGTTTTACACCTTATCTGGACATGTTTACTTGTATTCAGGGTTTTAGGCATGTGTGTGGACCACTAATGTTCGCTAGTGTAAATTGTTGTAAGTATGTACGTCTAATCCTGTAGTTTATTTTCTTATTTACCTAGGTTGACCGCTTTATTTTCAGCTCAATGAATAGCAAACTCATATATAAGTATTCAGGTGACCAGTCAAGCTGTTGGACAGTGTAAATCAGTTTTAAAAGCTGTTCTTATTCCCAACACAACTAAAGACAGGAATTCCGTCCATTTAGTAAGGCGTGAGTGAATTATCGGGGCACTATGTTGGTGGTAGAAACATTCAACTAACTGATTGGCATGAGCATGATATTCTTGCAACGTATTTCGTCAGAACCTAGTAGTTTCGATAAGCTGTTGAATAGCTCAGTCGTTTTTGTAGTAGGTGTACTAAAATGGTCACCCATGGTCACCGTTTTGGCTGTGATGTCGTTTGTTGATATGGTTATTGGGATCCTTTTGAATCTGTCCGAGTATGTAAGTTAGTGGTAAAAACCGCCAGAGCACGGTAAAGGACTTACCAAATCTAAATTAATGCAAGAAGGCCGTGGATGTGGCTGTGACAAAACTCTGATGGAAAAATTCATATGACGGTTTACCTTTGATTAGCTGCACGCCGTACAAATTTTAGCTCATTTGTGTTCAACTCTCTGTTCATTTGTTCGTATATCTCATATTTTACAGTCTCTTGGTAGTTTTTGCGCTAGCAGAGTCAGATTGTGAGAATCATAAAAAATCACTTTTCAATCGAGATAATATATGTGCTGTTCAACTGCTCCTACATTTGACATGCCGTACATTATTGGTGAACAACGATATAATTTTAATATATATCAGGCTTCTCGAACGAGTTTTTGTTGGCTTTCAATAAATTTGTTAGCTATTTACGGTCTGTGTCAAGTACGAATTTCTTGCCTTGCAACGCATGTTGGACATTTGATCTCGTCCTATCGCGTGTCTCGGAAAATTCCAAAGATTTAACCCCAAAAACCCGCTTACATTGATGGCCATTCATTCCATTTCATCTAATTATTTTAGCACGACTCTCCCATGCTACTTGCATGGTTTAGAATCTATACTGTCTATCAACTGATCGTTAATATTTTCTCTTATGAAAAGCATATCTCGATGTGAATTATCCACAAAACTCCAAACATGATGTTATGAGTACGAATCTGAACAACTCAAAGGCGTGATCATGGTTGTCTAGTGAATATGATAATACATTATAGGCTATCATAAATGAGTGATATTGGGTGTCCATATAATACTGTTTCCCGTCTAAGTGCTCTGTAATCCTATATAGTTGACAGTCAAATTCGTTTCACAGTTGAGACATTGTACAGGGTTGATGTTTATTGATAATCAGTAGTACGAAATAAATGTATTAAAACTCACTTCTCGTATTAGACTTATTCATTTCCGTTATTCACTAACGCGATTTAAGTCGATGACTGTATACGGAGGTAACCGCGATGCGTATTTAGATAGCAGCTTTAATACGGTCTATTTAAAGTCAGATACAGAACCACTAAAACTAGAACTATGTTCGCTACAGTGAACATCCACAAGAAGTTTCTCTTCGACTTCAATTCAAGTTTTGACGCTTTCTCCCCAAACGTTGAGATCTTCGCCTTATTGGGAGTGTAACTGAGAAATTCTGTCGTCTCGTTTAGATTTTATTCTGATGGATGATACCAAGCGCCGCATATACATTCGTTAGAGTGTTGCCTAAATTTCAATGGAAAGCATTTGATTGCTACGATCTACCATATTTGATTGTACTTTATAGTCTGTCATGGTTTTGATGTATTGCAACAAGCCTTGAATAGTGAGCTAAAATGCCCAGTGGTGCTGCTGATTATGATGATGGTCATGACCTAGGACTAATGAGATGATATTGTCGAGTAATGAGTACCGATAACCTTTGTATTTTATGGTATAAAATTTCATATGGAGATGCATGCTGACTTGTAAGAACACTTGTGCACTACAAATTATATTTCAAAATGGTTATTGCTACTGATGTTCAGACTGATGAAGCCAGTGTCGAGGATGGATACAGTGGATTGCATTTTGGAATATGCAGAATAAGCTATGATAGGGAAATATATGGTTTATTCACTTGAAGTCTCAGCAACAAAAGTCTGTTCTTGAAATAGCGCTCAATGAATAATGAAGGAGAACAACAAAGTGACTCAGAGTGATTTGGTGGTCCGCCAACCGTGAGATGTGAAGTGAAGAATTGTATTGTGTGATCCGTAAGTTAAAGCATCTATGGCGCTATTGTGTTTAGCAGAGTGTTTTATTGGCCTGATACGAAGTCCAGTAAATCACAATGAATCACTACGCGTTACTTGAAATGATGCAGAAATCCAAACTGCGATGGATTGGACAAGATAACAGTCACTAAACACCATAATGCAAAACCACTCTACTCAAAATGTTTTTACCGTCCGCTTTACTAGTCTTTTGATAATCATTGTGTTCAATTTATTCATAATTAAGACATTTTGAATGAATATTCCAGAACATTAAAAAGTCAATCCAGTTTATTTATGAATCTGTAATGGCAGATAAGTTCACCACGATCTCATAAAAACTGGTGTATATTAATCAAGCTGTTGGTCCAAGTGTTCAACAGAATTTTCGTGATACGTTACAGCGCTAGTTCTCGCTACATTCAGGCGCCAAGTTCCTGGCTTACCATGCCTCCTAAGCTTGATCCTAGTGCTGTTACTTATTGTAAGCTGGATGGTAATTTCTCATAGATTCTTAGGTTACCTGAGAGTTATTGGTGGTGAGGTTGGTGCAACATCGTCTTTAGCACCGAAAATTGGTCCTCTTGGCTTGTCTCCTAAAAAAGTCGGTGACGATATCGCAAAAGCAACTCAAGAATGGAAAGGTCTTCGTATTTGTGTTAAATTGACTATCCAGAATCGACAAGCGACCATCAGTGTTGTTCCTACGGCTTCTTCTCTCATAATCAAAGCCCTTAAGGAAGAGCCTCGTGATAGGAAGAAAGTAAAGAACATAAAACACAATGGGAATTTGACATTTGATGAGATAATAGAAATTGCACGAACGATGAGACCCAGAAGCATTGCCCGTGAGCTTTCTGGAACAGTGAAAGAGGTTCTGGGAACGGCAAGATCGGTCGGCTGTACAATTGATGGTCAGTCTCCTCAAGTCATAATCGAGAAAGTAAATGCTGGGGAAATATCGGTACCTGCAGCGTAGTTGCAAATAAACTTTTGGTACGTGATGACTATTCTCTTTTTCTTGGGCTGGATTTAGTCGTATCTGGTTCTGTCATAGTGTATATACTGACATCTTAGAGATATGGAATTCAGGTATTACGGGTTGGTTGCATATGTTTGAGTGGTATGACGTAACTGGTTCAATCGATTTGCTCCTACTATCTGACTTCAATAACTAGGTTTTCATGTATTTTTGGTAGGGTTGGTACATATTTCAGTGGGCAGGTTTCCTCTAAGTTCCGGTATACTTGCGTTGCAATTGGGGAGTCGCTTCCAGAAGACGTTAAGTCGTGTCGGGTTAGGAAATGTGACTTCCTTACAAAGTTTCGAAGTTGTGAGCGTTAATCTGGGTCTCTATGTTCCCAGTGCGAACCCTACTGCCTAGTCCCACCCACAGTTGATGAATAAAATTATTTTAATTGGAAGGGTCCATTCACTGTACGCGAGGCACTACGTTAATGTTTGATCACAATTTGACTACAGATTGTCATTCCAACGGCTCATTGTGGCTGGCGATCTACTTATTGGTTTAAATATTGTGATCTTATTAGTTTTTAAATATCCTAATCACCTTAAAATAGTCAGTCAATATTGTACAGGTAGAGTTCGTTCTAGTGGCCTCAGAAATATCAGCAGACTGGTTCTTCATGTCTCACAAAGTATGCCTCTTAATAAAAATGCCGAATTATTGCGTATCACACTTATATTGACGCAGCATTCGCGGTTTTCTCACGCATAGCGCCAATGCCATTTTCTAGACTGGTTAATGATATTATATTCATACTAAGTCTGTATGTCGGGTTATTTCCATATTAAGATATTTTAAGTCTTCGAATATACCAACATGATGGTCAAACATGACTCCACATGTCATTTATAAACGAGACGTAAATGGTTGCCTTTCAAGTTTATGACATGATTTGGGATATAAACTACATTTTAATAACAAACTGGTTTGACGCAACCAAACTATTAGAAGAGGTATACGCATGGCATCCGTATTCAGCGAACTTTATAGAACGTTTGAAGTGTCCAAATGCAAAATAAAAGGCAGTAAATTTGTCAATAATTTTCACTGGAAAAAATTGTCGGTCCTATGAATCACGTGCTTTTTATGTCACTGAATAGTACTGCAAGTACACGGATAAATATAGTCATTAGTACTGTCTTTGGATGCTGCTCAAAGTAGAATGCATAAACCCACATTAGATAAATAAATTATTTGCGATATTTATGATAGCCTTGTGTACAATTACTGATTGTTTCATATCGGTCATTGGCCGAATCTAACTGATTCCATCCGTCAGTTCATCTAATTACATTTCAATCAAAGACCAACTGTCAGATCAGATCATATACATATCCGTCATGTGACTAGAAATTTCCCGCTGAAAATTTCCATGGTGAGTCCGCTATTGCTGTTGCCCACGAACAAGATATAATATTTTAGCATCCATGCACCAACAGATGTTCCGGGTTTACTTGTACGCTTTAGTTTAATAACGAACGCCTGGATGTTGCAATCATTTGTGCTGGATTTCTCTGTTTGAATGTAGGTGGATCCGAGTGCTGTTAGAGTTTCGACGGGTGTTGTCACTTCAATTGCCTACACCATTTAACCGCACTTCTTAAGAGACCTGAAAAAGAAACTGGTTTAGAAGTATCGATTGCCTTGAACATGACGGCAGCATCCGTGGGTTAATTTGCGAGTATGATTTCGTAATCTTTTTGGTAGGCAGTTTTAGATGGGTCAGGTTCGTAGATTTCAGACTACTACAGGCTGTGTAAGTGTTAAGACAAGGTAAGATGTCCTGTTCCTTTAGGGTCGGACTTTTCCATCCCATCTCCTGTAAGAAGGCAGTATGGCTTCCGATATTGGCTGCGGTAAACCTCTTCCACCACAGTCGTGTACGGTCAAGTCAGACTTCATCTTCGTACCTGTTTTTGATCTTGCCGTTCTCCAGTCGATCCGCCTTGTATGTTAATTTCTATGAAAACGAGTATTTTAGCGTAATCGGTTATATTATTATAATGAACAAACCTAACAATGTCTTTGTAGTAACGGGTGCTGTCGGAATTTAAAGATTTCTTCCTCATCGGGTGGGTGTCAAAATCATGGTAAGTTGAGTCTATAATTGTGCGGATCAACATCCTAACTAGCTATTATAAGAAATGTGGTTCATGGGTCTTTCTCTTGTTTCATTGCTTTTTAACATTGATAAGCAGGTTGTCTTTGCTACTGTTAAATTGCTCACACTTTTTCGTTTCCGAGTACCGTATATCTTTCATAGGAAACAAGTTAAGTAGTTATTGGACTAATTATTTTGTTTGTGTATATTTATTACTGGTATATGGACTAAGGTTTAGATAGGACGAAATGATCTTACAGTTCAAGATAACGTATCAGGCATTGAACAATTATTTGGTAACATTATATACTTCACAGCTAAGGCATACCTCTTACAGCACTATCATTGAACTTCAGTGCGGTAAATAATCGAGGGGTTTGTAGCCTTAAAGATGTCTTGTCCACGTTGTTTTTTTGAGGCGAATTATTTCCCCTTTACTGGTATCTCGACCGTTGTTGCTACCTTGACGTGGTGGTCGGGCTTGCCTATCGTGATGAAGCAACCGAGCTATACTGGCTGGAACAACCGTTCCTCAAGGTCCTACCATGTCAGACAGGTCGGTTGAAGAGCGGTAAGACTAAAAGCAACAAACCCAAGGTCCGAAGGCGAAGTCGTACTGCTGACTGTACAGAGGTGTGACAGCAGTAAGGTGTTTCCTTCAGACAACCAGCATGACAGCGATGCTGCCTTCCCACACGGAGGGGTGGGGTTAGAAAAGGTCGACCCTAAAAATGCACACCTCACCTTACCTCACGGATTTCCGTCTCCGGCGGTAAGGCCCTTTGAAGAACGGAGCTAACACGTCGAAAACCTTCCACGAAAAGGCCGTGCGCGACCGGCCACAAGCAGTTGTCCCTTGGGCACTGCGGTCACGCTCTCAGGTCACTGAGACCGCCTCTAATCCAATTTCCTTTTCAGGTACCTCCAGAAGAACCCTTCCACGGTGTGGGCAACCGGGAAATGATAACCGCCCTCATACCTCTAACAGCACCCAAGACCACTGTATTCATAATCAACCTTCCTCTTCAATTCCTATTATTCCTCCTACATCGACTTTCAACCCTAAACTTCCTCCTTTGGCTTCCTCCTCAAGTGTCACCATAGCCAACGATTCTAGTGCTCAAAACTCTGTCCCAGGTCTACTGAAACCTCGCTCCAAACTACACATTGGAGCCTTCAATGTACGCACCCTATGTCAAATCGGTCAGTAGGCTTCCTTGGCTAGGACCCTAGAGTCTCTTTCCATTGATGTATGCTGTGTCTCCGAAACACGCATACAGGATTCCAGTGTGGTCATTCACTTGACCTCACCTCGGCAGAACGGAGAGCCAACGAGATACACCCTTCGTGTATCTGGTGACCCGACGGCCAGTTCTCGTGGACTGGCAGGTGTAGGCATAGCACTAAGCATGAGGGCCGAACAAGCACTGGTAGAGTGGATCCCCGTCAACAGTCGTCTATGTGCTGTTCGGCTGAACGGCTACGTAAGAACTCGGAAGGATAGGGACACACGTCGTTGCCTTTTTGTCGTTTCTGCCTACGCTCCCACTGACTGCAGCTCAGATGAAGTGAAAGATGAATTTTACAGAAAGCTGTCCGAACTTCTTCAGAAAGCTAAACGCTCAGACATAGTACTCGTAGCAGTTGATTTTAATGCTCAGATAGGTAGCTTAAACCAAACAGAAAGGCATTTAGGTGGATATTTTAGTATTCCGACACAGCGAACAGATAATGGTGATCGTCTGCTGCAACTATGCTTAGACAATCGTTTATTTTTAGCAAACACAAATTTTAAGCATAAGGAGAGACATCGTCTAACATGGCGACCCCCTACACCAAACCAACGATGGACTCAAATAGACCATATTGCCATCAGTCATCGTTGGAGAGGGTCGGTAGAAGATTGTCGCTCATTCTGGAGTACCTGCTTGGACTCCGACCATGCCCTAATACGGGCACGCATCTGCTTGCGCCTCACTGGACGCAAAAAAGCCACATTAAAAAGACCCGTTAGAACTGAGTTGAGTAACGAGAAAACCAAAAGTAGGTTCCAGGAACAACTGAGGTCACACTTAGGTAGTTGTGAAGACGAGGCTGACCCAGATGTTGCTTGGAAGAGCATACAATCAACTGTGGAAACAGCAGTGACATCTATTAGTGACTTAAACCACAGAGTTGCAAGGAACCAGTGGATTTCTTCAAGGTCTGTCACACTGATGGATTCTCGCAAACTCGTCCCATCAGGTTCTGAACATGATGAAGAGCGAAAACAAATCAGATCTAGGTTAAGAAAAAGTCTAAGGAACGACCGTGAGCAGTGGTGGGTAACGAAAGCAAGAGATGGAAAAGGCGGCGACTATAGGGAACACAAGACAGCTTTACAGACTAATAAAAGAAACTGGAATTAATAAGTCAAGTGTAAGTGAGATTATTTCGGACAAAGACGATACTCTCATCTGCTCCCAGTCCAGACGTTTAGAACGATGGGCGGAACATTTTAGAGAACAGTTCAGCTGGCCTTCAGCTACTCTACAACTACCCTCCATTCCCAGACAATGTGAATGGAACATTGAAGTAGGTCCCCCAACTCTCGCTGAAGTTCAAAAGGCTATAGTTAATCTGAAACGAGGAAGGGCAGCTGGTCCAGATGGATTGGCTCCAGAGGTCTTTAAGGATGGTGGTCCAATTTTAGCGATTAGGTTGACTAATATTTTAGCTAAGATCTGGGAATTAGACTTTATCCCATCTGACTGGTCGCAATCACTTATCGTCCCAATATATAAGAAAGGGTCAAAATCATCCTGTGACAACCACAGAGGGATTAGTTTAACAAACATAGTATCTAAAATACTGGCCTCGATAATTATC